TAGAAACAATTTCTGGGGGTGTGTTACATGCTCTCTGAGAGATTCTTATGCTCACCAACGTTGAGAAGCACAGTGTTAGTGTTTTTGAGGCCATCAGCAGACAGCCAGGGTACATGGCTGTTTCTTTATCTTGGAGACCTACCAAGCAGACCTCTATTCCTGTAGTAGTGATTACAGGCACAGTCCACTGGGAAGGCTGTTTGGCAAGGGCCAGGTTACTACTTTCTGGAATTTTTTCTAGAGCTTCCAAAATGCTAATAAATCAGGACTGTCAGGCCAACTGACTGCTTTGATGCTGGAGCTCTTAACGTGAAGGTCAGTAGCCACCCTGGCAAGCCTGGGGCTGACGTATATGGAGACAGTGGGAGTAACTCTGGCAGGGAAGCAGTAGAGGCCTGGACATTATTTCTCCGGCCTCCTGTCCTGCTGCTCTCTAATCGGGTCTCCAAGCTCAAAAGCATCAATAATGGCATTCCCGAGTAGGGCACACCACCCCTCTGTTATCCCGAAGAATGAAGAAATGTCCCAGATAGTGCTGAGCAGTGTCCACCCAGCTGATGACAACGACAGTGAAAGGGCTGTGTCCAAACCGCAGCACAGGCACAGTGACGTGAAAGTCTACAAGGAGTTCTGTGACTTTTATGTGAAATTGTGAGTGTCTCCTTTTCTCGAGTTCCCTTCTCCCAGTTCTAGCCTTTCTGGGATTTCAGCTTGATAGCCACTAATGGTGTTATTTCCTGGATTTTGAGCAGGGGCTTCCCAGGTGGTGCAGCAGATTCCAGCAGGCAGGCCAGTTGCCTGGTCATGTAAACTTATGCTGGATGAAATGTGAAGGAAAATGCTACTGTTACAGTAAAAGTAGTAACATCTGTCTTTAGCAGGTTCCTGATAATAGCACATTTGTACTGTACAGACCGAGAGGGAGGTTTAGAATTTTCGTTATTGGCATTATAATACATTTTTATACTATAAAAGTGCCCATAGGTAAGGGGCAGATTGGGGGCAATCAAAATATGAATTACAGGCTGCTGATAAAAATACAGATTTTTGTGATGTTTAACAATCAGCAGTTTAAATGGGGTTTTTAATGCTGTCTCTAGGGGAATGAATGAATAAAAAAGATGTTGTATAAGCTAGCAAATATATATTATCATACAGTTACCCTCAAAGTTCATCTATTTCATATTATTGCTGGGCTTTAGCAAACAGTTTCAAAAAAAAAGAAGTAGAGTATTCTTTAGACCAACTCATGTAAGATTGTTGACCTTATACAGCATTGTAAGCTTGGAATTAGTGCAGATCCCTAATGTGTCAATTGAGAGTTAAGGAGAATTTAATTGACCTGATTCCCTATTTCCATGAACTCATTCTCTATGGTATTGCAACAGATGTCATTTATTTTCACAGCTCATAAAGAGCTCTTTTAAGACTAATTAGACAATTATAATTACCCTGTAACTAAAATGCTTGAACTCTCAAGATGCTTTTTGAATATTTACATTTTTTTATTTTAATGCCAGAAAATTTGTTTCACATACTTTGATAAATAAGGCATTTAAATAATGGAAGGTTGATGACATCAGGTGCTCTGTGTGTGCCTGATTTTTGAAAGTAGGTTAGCTAAAGCAGTTGTGACTGGGCCGTTAAGATTCTACACTAAAGGCATGCATATACGTATAAATACATGTATATTTTTATATATGTCTCCTGCATACAAATGTATCTAGAGATATCCCCCAATATACATAATCATTGCCATCAATGCTTTTGTTGAAAATTCTGGTGAAATTTTTCTCAGAAAATAATTTACTGTAACTAACCAAATGACAGCTATAACTGCCATTCATGACTTTTAAAAAGTAACTTTTATCATATTTATTAAATATAAAAGTCAACTGTAAAAAAAACGTATGTCAATGTAGTTTCATCCATTGTAACATATGTACCGCTTGGGTGGGGTTATTCGTAATGGGGAAGCTGTGCAATGTGTGGAGCAGGGGGCATATGGGGAATCCCTGTTTCTTCCACTCAATTTTTCTGTGAACCTAAAACTTCTCTGAAAAACAGTCCATTAAAAGCAAAACAAAACCAGATGTAGTGCCAGAAGATCAAAGATAGTGAGATTATTGATATATTTTTTTTCTGAAAGTTTCCTCAAATGTTGTTTCTTTTCTTGCTTGTTATAAAAAGGAATACTTTAAAAATACATATTGCATTATCTCTAAAAAACTAGTTTATTTTTTCTGTGGTGGGAAAAAACCTATATGCTTTTTTTATAATATGTCTACCTATTTTCTAATCTATTTTGGGCCTATTTGACCAAAAAAAAAAAAAAGAAAAGAATTATTTTGATTCACTCACACCAGATGGCTTTTGTTGTGTTGGCTGTTATAGCTTGTTTGTTTGTTTTGTTTGTTTGTTTGTTTTACTTGTCAATCTAAAGTAAAAGAGTTCAGTGCCCCTAACTTAATAGTCAGGTATTGCATGTTTGAAAAATTGATGCGGCACACTTGTTGAAAATTGCTAACCTGTAGTATAAAGATCAGTGATAAACATTTTGATCTTGGGACCCCTTTACATGTTTGAGGTCCCCAAATAGCATTTGTTTTATCTATGTTTACTGTATCAGAAAATAAAACTGAGAAATATTTTAGTTATGTATTCGTTCATTTGAAATGCCAGTAATTTCATTACACAATCAAATGTTAATATTAATTTTTAATGAAAAATAAGTGTATCTAAAACAACAAACACTTGGTGAGAAGTGTGGCATTGTGTTAAAATTTTACAAATCTCATTAATCTGTATCTTAATAGAAACCAGTTTCTTGTAACTGCTTCTGCATCCATCCTATTGTAAAATGTTGTTTTAGATAAAGTACATAAAGAAAATATGGTCTTACATAGAGATGTAGTTAGAAAAAGAAGGAGATTTTGAATCTCTGAAAGGGTCACAGTGGCCCCTAAATTTTGAAAACCACTGATCTAGGTAATAATGAATCAGGGCATTACGGGATGGTCTTATTTCTAGCTTTTTTGGAGTTCTATTAAAATCATTGAGGATTTGGTGACTCTTTTGAGAGGGTTTTTAATTAATAATAATGCTTTGTATTTGAGTAGCATCTTCTGGTTTTCAAAGTGGTTTCATATACCTTTTCTTATTTCATCCTCAAAACAGCACTAAGAATTTTCAGGACAGATGTGGACTTAAAATACTTCATCAAGGGACACCTGATGATCTTGGTCAGGAGAAAGGAGGAATTACAGACCTTTCCAGAGCTTTTCTAAAACTTTGACAGTTCGTCTGGCTTATGGCAAAGCCAAGTGAAGAAGGGGTTATAGATTTTTCTTGGTAACCCATAATAATTCTGAAATGAGAAAATAGAAAATTTGTTTTAATGTGAGATTTAGACAAGATTTGTCAGGCTCATGCCTTCTTCCCTTTCTCCTTTTTAGGGGGACGACGTTCCCCCTAAAGGATTTATACTTTAGGATTAAAAGGATTAAGGTTTGCTAAAGGATTCTATACTTAAGCCTATTAAGTAAAATTGAGTGTGATACCACTGAGTAAGTTATGGCAAAGCTACAAAATAGTAATACTATTCTTTGAAATACTTGGGGGTGAAAGGCAGAGTTGCCGTTTGTTGTGTGTGGGGGGTTGTGCATTGAGGTAAAACGAGGTATGTTTGAAGACTGGCTAGAGAAACAGGAAAACTTAGAAACTGGTACGAGACAAGGCAGTTAATCTGTAAAATGGAGACTCTCCTTCCCACCTGCCACACAGAGTGGTTGTGAAGATTCAGAAGAACATTGGCAGTAACTTTACGAGATGGTCAGAAGCTGCACCTGGGGACCAGACACCAGTACAGCTTGCACTCTGAGTGGACATCTGAAAATAAACTTGCCAGATTACGAAGAATGGCTTAGCCAAATCCAATGACTTCTGCTTAGGGGACCTTCTTCACTTGGGGGCCTTTCAGAAATAAAACAATTCTTTATGTGAAATTTGGAGAAGGGGGTGTCATTGGAGAATAACTAATTATATCTGATTATATGCCTTATTATATGCTTTTCTTGAAACTACACAGTGGAACATGGGATCATTTATTGAATGGCCCCTGTGTGTTTCCAGGTGCTGGGGAATGATTGGTAATGGCATTACCCAAGGTCTTGGGCTCGTCATCAGTGGTCACTGACTGCCTGGTTTTACTTCCGTCGTCTGTAAAGTGTGATGGTGTCCCTATCATGTCTCTCAAGTGTTTGAAATCGATACTGTAGTATGATTGTGATTTTATGATCAAGGGACCTGGATTCTATTCCTGTATCTTCTATTAACTAATTAACTTTGTGGGGTTGGGCTAGTCAATCCACATCTCTTCTCCAAACCACCATTTCATCATCTGTAAAGTGATCTTTATAATGCAAAGTTCTGTGATTTTAAGATTATTTTATAATACTAGTTTTTAATATTTGTTTTACCAATTAGATTACAGGACTAAGGAATTTTGACTGGTTTTAAGAATTGAGCAGTTGCTTTCAACAGAGTCTAACCAAAGTGATAATTTGTATTTGTACAATGATATCGCATTTAGTTAACATGAAGTTTAGATTCTGTTCTCAGAAGGGAGAAAAATTGACTTTGAAATGTTGGTTTTTGGACATTTTAATTAAGCTACTTATAAAGCTGTAAACTCAAGCTCCATGGGGACAATTCTTGACTTTCATCTGTATCCTATAGGCATTCACTATGGTATATTTATCAAGAGGAATATCAAAATGTTAAAAGAAAAACAGGTTCCAAGCAGGAGGAGCTTTCAAGGCTTAACATGCTAGGGCAGAGATGGGAATAGTTTGACTTGAATACTTAAGACACAAGCTAAAAATTGGGCTTTATAGATAAAGTATGATTTTTGTAAACAGAATGTGCTCTTCCATTCATTCTGTTTATTGGTCTTAAGTCTAAGAAGAGGTTAATCAGTGACTTCCCTTCCTTTGTTGCAGTAACATGGCCAATGCCCTTGCCAATGCCACCTGTGAGCGCTGCAAGGGGGGTTTTGCACCCGCTGAGAAGATCGTAAATAGTAATGGCGAGCTGTACCATGAGCAGTGTTTTGTGTGTGCTCAGTGCTTCCAGCAGTTCCCAGAAGGACTTTTCTATGAGGTGAGTCGACTTGGGGAAAAGCATAAAGGTACCCTTCTTTTTTCCCCTCCCCTTTGCTCCCCCCTCCTCCCCTCCCCTTCTTTTTTGACGCACTTTCTTCCCTTTAAATTTTAGTGTCAAAAATTGTGTCGAAGAGCCAGGTACAGTGCCAGATATTTGGTACCTGTCGATTAGTGATGGCTTATACATGGAATGCCTTGACAGACTCCACCATTTATATTCTTCATTTCATCCTCCTATTTCAAAACCCACGGCACCGGTGACTCAACTTATCAAACGTGAGCACTTCAGGCTCAGCAGATAGAATTCTTTTGGAAGCTTCAGCCAGTTTTTCTGGCTTCTCCACTTAGGTCTCCATTTGCTTGCCCCTCTACACATACCTTCCTGATTCCTGCCTTTGTGTCTTCCTTCTTCTAAGAGCACCATTGGATATCTTCTCTGAAGGAGGGTATCTGTTACCTACTCCAAGACTTTCAGGCAACCAGTGGGGCCTTCCATGCATTTATTTGCTAAAGAGGATCTTGTTTGGAAATGAGTATTTTAGAGGGATACCCTGTCTATATTTAGCTCTTCTGCATGTCTTATATTCTTTTCCAAGTATTTGTTTTTCTTTTTCTTTTTAAAGGTTTTATTTATTTATTTTTAGAGACGGGAAGGCAAGGAGAAAGAGAGAGAAACATCAATGCATGGCCACCTCTTGTATGCTCCCCCACTAAGGACCTGGCCCACAACCTAGGCACGTGCCCCAGACAGGGAATCGAACCAGTAGCTCTCTGGTTCACAGGCTGGCGCTCAATCCCCTGAGACACACCAGCCAGGGCATGTTTATCTTGATCCTCTGGTGTTACCACGTGGTGTTTACTTCCTTTGTATTTATTCTTACTATGACTGGAACCCCCTTCTCACAGTATATGTCTACTTTTGTGACTGGTCTAGGGAGGCTGACCTCATGCTCTTAATGAAGATAAGAATGGGTGTGTGTGTGTGTGTGTGTGTGTGTGTGTGAGAGAGAGAGATAGAGAAATCAATTTGGTAATTTGCTTTTACCAACCTATTCCTTACATATTTGTATATATATGTTATTCATATGTGTATCTTTATATGGTAATACATGTACATAGAATTATGTTAAATCCAGAGATTGCTGCTTTTTGATATCTCCTTTTGCTTAACAGATTTTTAAATTTCCTGGTTTTACAAACCGTTCCTGAGGAAGGAAAAGGTAGTCATTAGTAAGTTGATTGCAACTCAGACAGAATTTTCCCATTGAAACAATGTCTCATGAAAGCGGAGTTCCCAGGTCAGCCTGCAGAAAGCTTTTTACCTGTTATGTTTACATTAAATACAGAACTACGGTGTATATAGTAACTTCACTCTGGGAAACAGCTTTGAGAGTTTTGATTAGAGAACACTGTTTTATTCACTCAGACACATTTTTAGCTCTAATATGTCCCAGAAACACTCAATTCACTACAACAAAAACACTAGCAGTAGGAATAGGAATTGTTTTTCTCTTTTCATTCACTTCGGAACTGCTTTCCTGTGCAGTTGGAATCTCTTTTTCTGTCAAGGCGGATGGCTCTTGGAGGGGGGTGGCTTTTTGATGGGAATGGCAAGTGAGAGTTGGAGTGGGACCTAAGCAGAAAAGGCACAGTGTCCAACAGCAGGAGGGAACTGGGGGTGAAGGCTGGTTAGAGACCCCACCCTGAGGTTGTAGATGGAGCCGCTATTGATGAAGAGGATAGCAACTAGATTCAAGAAGAAAAAGGAGATTATTACAGGCTGAGGCTTGGGAAGAGAAAGACAATGTGTAAAAAGACCTAAAGACCTGCTTCGGTAGACCCTTGACAAAACAGTCTCTGTTCTCTGGGTAAGTACAGTGGAGGCAGGCCAGGACTAGCAAGGAAGGAGTTAAGACTCGCAAAGCACATTTAAGGGAACTCTAGGGATCTGCCTCCAGAGGAAACATTGTCTTCATACTTTGTAAACCCCCTCCTTATCCCTACCTATGTTTTTTCATGAGGCCCAGAGAGGTTGAAGTGTCCTTGATAACAGCATATTTGTGACATCAATGGAATTAGAATCTAGTTTGGTATCCTAATATTCGATATGGTATTTTATTTCTTATATATTCTGTTCAAATGTATGGTATTTGTATTGAAATAGATAATTACAGCAAAGGCCTTAAAAGAGATTCCCGAGCAGCAGTACAGAAGAACTCAAGAGAAAAGGCAGGATATGTTTTTTCAAACATTTTTTTTTATCATGGTCTGCTATTCCTTCTCTAACTTATTTTTCCTATATTGTCCATTTGTTTTCCATTTTGGAATTAATGATATTGTTAAGCACAATCACCTCCTAAGCTCCTGGGTCCTATATTTAGGTCCTGTCAGGTGCCTTGTGCTTAGTCAGAGGGAAGGCTTTGTAAGAGTCTTTAATAGAACGGAATAAAGCATGACTCATACTTGTCATCCTGCCCACCCTTCACTCCTCTTTACTTCAGGATTATAAATAGCCTCCCTGGGCTTCTCTAATAGTGTTCCAGAAGATGTTATCAACACCCACAACTAGTCTGTTAATGGGCTGTTGTCAAGCTTAAGCTCCCTAGGGTCCTAAAGAAGATTGCTATTTTAGTTGCATTTACAATTAAAACCCCTCATTTAGTCCAGAATAGACCTTTCCTTTTGGTTGAATGATATTAGAGAAGAAGCTATCTAAGACTTCTGAGAAATAATCTGCATTTTCAGTTATATTTAGCAATAAATTGTTTTTCGGAAAGGAAGCTCAAAAACTTACCTGGCTTGCTTTCCATTTGAGAGACAACTCTGTGCAGCATTCTTGGTGGTAATAGTAATTACATTATTTCTTCTCTATACCTTTGCTGTGGCTTTTGTCTTACCATTAAAATACCATCCTTCCTTCATTCCCACAGCCCTTATCTTTTCTCTAGAAGGCTAGCCAAGAAGATTGACAGGTGGGTTTTTTGTACTTAAGGTCCCTTGAAAGTAGGATCCCCTTTTTGTTGTGGAATATTTTGGATCAGATAGCCAAGACATTCTTCACTTTGACTACAAAAGCAAATCTAGTCTAAGACTTGTTTCCTATCAGTATCTGGGATATATATCTGGAGATAAGCTCATCCAGCTCAGATATGTGTGGCTCATCTGCAACTCTGCTTAGAGTAATTTAACACCAATCTGGAGTATTACCAGCATTGGCTTTGTACTCAAGATGACTTTGAATCCCACTAGATTATGTGGTTTAAACGTGAACTTAACTTCCAGTCAAGATGGCAGCATAGGTAAACACAGTACTCACTTCCTCCCAAAATCACATCAAAATTATAACTAAACTACAGAACAACCATCATACAGAATTGCCTAGAGTCAAACTGAATGGAATTCCCACAACTCTGGAATTAAAGAAGAAGCCAAACAGACTGGTAGGAGGGGCAGAGATGCACAATGAGCTAGATAAAAATTGGGAGGAATATCCTGGCTGTGGAGATCCCATGTGGAGTGAAGTGTCCCAGCCCCACACCAGGCTCCCCAGCCTGGAGTTCCAGTGCCAGGAAGAGAAGTCCCCATAACTTGTGGCTGTAAAAACCAGCAGAGATTGAGGCTGAGGAAGGCAGAAGCATCAGGAGTCCCAGGCAGTTCCTCTTAACAGGTCTGCAGACAGACAGACTTGGACGTACTTCCTCTGACCTCCAGCATGGGGGCACCAGAGACACCAGAAGATCTGGGTTGCATGGCTCCAAGGAGAGATCTGAAGGGTCAGCTGCCAGGGGCCCTGTGCTAAGTCCCTATCCCACACCACCCATAGGCACCACTTTCCCTGAGTTGAGCATGCCTGTTCTTATAGCACCAGCCTGTACTAACCCACTCCTCCTGACTCCCTGTAGCCCTACCCTGTCAAGCTTGTTTCCTGCAGGAAAGCCTGCCCGGCTGTAGCCAGCCTGGATTGGTGGTGCACTTTTTCTTAGAAAGCTATTGTCAGAGACTTGGACTGGCACTAGGTTGTATGTTTCCAGAGCAATCACCGTTCTTCCCTCCCTGTGTGTCACTGGCACCCATCCTGCAACAGGAAACCCACTGGCCCCATCCTCCCAACTCCCAGTGGCCCTGCCCAGCTGACCTCCAGTCCTGCAGAAAAGTCTGCTGCCTGCACCCAGTTGGGACCCGCAGTGCACTCTTTCTTGGGAAGCAATGGTCAGAGACTGGACACTGAGTGGTATATGGAGTAAGGGCCTCTTTCTTCCTACTGAGTACCTGTCCAGTGCCATCCCTAAACAGGATTCCCTGTCTTCCTGACCCTGGTTGCCTTGCCCTACTAAAGCTTGTGCATTGTGGAAGAGACTGCAGGCAGTAGCCAGCCTGGGCCCAATCTATAGACTTTGTTTAGAAGGCGCTCAAGGAAATCCAGGCAGTGTTGGGGTGACAAGAGTAGTCATCTGGTAGGAGCAGTTCTTGGAGATCCTTAGCCCTTTCACTGATCTTCCCCCAGGCTCAGAGCTGGTGGAAGCCAAGCTTTGTATACTGCTTGGTCCCTGCCACACACACTTAGGCCCAGTAGAAGGAGTCACAAACTAATGACAGCTTAGTAGTTTCAGATAAGTATCCCAAGGCCATTTGTAGGCAGCCTCTGGCATTCACTTGCACTAGGGTCCTGCCAAGGTAGGCCCAGAACCAACATAACCAGTGATGGGCTTCAGATCACAGCTGAGCCCTTCCCAATTAGTCATACAAGTGGCGCATGCAAGGGAGATCCTGGGAGGAACTAGACCATGCTGGGGCTAACTCCACTTCAGGTGGCAGCCCACCACAATGGCTCATACACTCTGGTCAGAGTCTGTCCTCATAGTCAGCCAGCTTGAGGGTTAACCCCACCTATGAGTGGACCAACAGTCTTCCAGTGTTGTAACAGGAAGGTGCACCTAACTCATACAAGAGACATTCCTAGAACACCTAGGTCAGAAGGTCAGGAAGATTTTACCATTG